ACCTTCGCGCGGGAGGTCAGACCGGGGTTCGGCCACCAGCTAAAGTACCACTTTCAGTGGGGTTTTAACAGCCGTGGTGACTGTTTTACATAAATCATTGATATCACAACATGCATTGATATAGACAGTCCAGTTGGTACAGTCAAAACATCCTCTCAGTTGATCTTCACTTTCTTCAGTCCAGGTGGTGACTGTTCAAACCTCTGGCTTCGTTGGTCTCAATACAGTGCGGTACAGATGAAGTACAAATGACATGTTGTGGTCAGAGTTACCGATGGGTGGGAGGGCAACACACTCATAGGCTTGGGTGACAATGCCGTAACACAGATCTATTGTCCTTTGGGTGTCTCGTTGGAACGTCGACGAACTGAGTCAAGTTGGGTCGGGCGGCGTTAAGAGCAAAGCTAGACTTGGACAATGTATAGTCGTGCGAAGAAAACAAAATAGTTAGTTCCTTTGGAAAAACACAACAATGTGTTTGTTCGTACAACTAGGCTTGCACAAAAAGTAATAGATTATAAGTATCACTGAAAGTGTAACGACCGACCGCACAAGTTACTCATATCCGTAGTAGGTGAAAGAAACATAAATGGTGTGTGGGGGGGGGGGGGGGGTACCACCTGCAGTGGAACAGCGTGTCGTTTTAGTTTTTAGTTTTAATAAGGCTCTACGGCGCTCGCAACTGCATAAAGTCATATGAGCGCCAAGGGGTGGATGTCAGCTGAGAAGTGCAAACGGGGAATCAGGCTGACTCTGCTCAAATCTCTAGCCTCAACAACACAAAGTCTGCTTCGACTATCAAGGCACTCCGGTAATAGCAGTTCACAAGAGAATGACAAACATAATAAAGAAGTAGGGGGAATATGACGATAATAAAGATGAGGAAAGAAAAAGCAGCAGTTCCCCCTATGTTGTTCCGGCACAGTGTGAACATGACATTGAAAAATCAGCCCATTTACCACAATTCTACTGTGCATAAGAACATGTTAATATCCCCCCCCCCCCCCTTAGAGAATGACCTAAAGACAACTTCAGTGAGTAGCACTGCCCTGGAGGGGGGAAGCGTGTCATTTGAGGCGACAAAAGGTGTGAGGCTTCGAGATGCAGAAAATAAATGCGTTTTATCAGATCTTTATGGGATTAATGCGCTGAAAAAAAACGCATTTCTACACGGGTGATCTGATAAAATGCATTCTTCTTATTTGTTTGTTTGTTTGTTTGTTTGTCTTTAGTGCAGGAAAAAGCGAGTCTGACAGATGACAAAAGGGAAGGAAAAGAAGTAGGACCTACCAGTGGCACCTTCCTGCCACTTGCTACCTGTCTGAGGGAAGATGTGGAGGAGAAAAGCCAAATGTGAGACAGCGTGGTGGAATCAGGCTCTCGTCAAAATAATCAAAGTGAAGAAACTTGCGTTTTTCCGCACCTTAGAAAGAGTGTATTAAGTAATATTAATACACTTCTCCCCTTTAGAAATTGAGGAATACATACGTCATGTACAAATTATCTCTGCCCCCCCCCCCCCCGCCAACCGCCAACCGCCAACCTCCAAATCCCATTCCACACGTGTCGTCAACCACCATAAAGATTTCTTTGTTTCGACAATAAGTATTGACACAGCAGTGAGGTGATAAGTGAGACTAAGCCTGTGCTCAGAGTCCCACTGACTGCGACTGTCACTTACCGGTAGAGCTGGGCAAAATCCGGATAATCTGTAAAGATAACCGGATCATTCTCAATGGAAACATCTTCCCAGTTCAGACTCGTAACTCTCTTTCCTGAGCCCCGTTTTCCGAAGTGGGGGCACCCATTTGTTGAAGTGATGATGCTAACCCTTTTGTTGAAGTGATGATGCTAACCGTTTGTTGAAGTGATGATGCTAACCGTTTGTTGAAGTGATGATGCTAACCGTTTGTTGAAGTGATGATGCTAACCCGTTTGTTGAAGTGATGATGCTAACCCGTTTGTTGAAGTGATGATGCTAACCCGTTTGTCGCAGTGGTTCTAACCCATTTGTTGAAGTGATGATGCTAACCCGTTTGTCGCAGTGGTTCTAACCCATTTGCCGAAGGGGTTCAGAGCATAATATTTGCCAAAGGGGTGCACTAACATATTATCTGGATTTTGTTATTAAAGCGACTCATTGCCCATATCTACTTACCGGCGGTTTGAGGGATTGATTGTACATGGTTGACACGCCCATGGAAAACAATTTCGGTAATTTGGAGTTCATCCCAAGCTGTGTCAAGGAACACTTAAATGATAATAATAATAATAATAATAAATGACACTTATGCAACAATTTCGGTAATTTGGAGTTCATCCCGTCTTTTGCCGCGGCAAGCCAGACCTTCGATAAAAAGAAAAGTAAATGAACCCGATCAAATTTATCTTTATATTATAGCTCAATTTGAACCAATTATACATGGTATTATGATATCATTCTAGTAGTTTGGAATCTCACGCTCTGTGTACTTTCGACTTCAGATAATTTTATAAATAATGTGAAACAGACGTATTAGAATTAAAGACTTAATAACAACGCACACACAACCGATTTTTTTATAAAGAAAGAAAACTCGTTTCAAGCCAAACCCTTCATATGAACCACACTCAATGGCTGCCACCAGGTAAATCACCCGAGCGTGTGAGCACACATAGCCATAAAGCAACAAAAATAAGAGTAAAGTTGTTCCCGCATCCGATCCGGACATTGGGGATTGCCTTGTTAGTGAGACAACTTCTTGGGCCTTCGGCATATTGTGGAAGGGTGGACAGTTCATTTCCACGCCGCCTTTACTTCCCCAACTCGAAGTCAGGTACCCGTTACTGATGGGTGGGCAGGAGGAGGTGAAAAAAATTCGTGTCCGAACCGAGGCTCGAACCCGGACTGTCCGCTTCGGAGACGAGAGCACTAACCGCTCCGCCACCGCACCATTTGGAATAAGAGTATTGCTACATATTTTTCGTACGCTTTCTTCGATTCAGATCTGGCTATTAGAAAAATGATAATGCCCCAAGACGACGTAATACTGAAGAGAGTAAGGAGGTAAAGCGTATGCTGGATTTAAATGCAAGTTGACGGATTGACAAGAAAAATCAATCGGTCGATTTAATAGACCAGTGTGCGAGTCAGTGGTCGGGTGCATTACTCTGACTAATGCCAGATTGCATAAAGATTGCATCCAGACATCGAACTATTTTTTTATTTTTTTAAATGTAAAAACACCACCAACATGCCTCAGCAGAAGTAATTTCGCGTATTTTTTTCGTCCGCACACATTGTCTATCATTATTTCTTTGTGAAAAAACAAGAAACGCAAAGGTAAAAACGACGTATTGAAACGGGAAAGCAGCGCGTACCGGTACACCTGGATTATTGTCCTATTTTTCATTTTCCGTAATTTTTCCTTAATTTGCCATATTTGAAAGAGATTTCACGACACATTTATAAGTACATGGAATCCTGACATTACATTTTTTTGATTTGCTTAATAAAAAGGTAAGGCATTATTTCCAGTCCTTTTCTCGGTCTCCGGACACATACAAGGAGATGTGTGGTTGTCCAGATTTTAAGAGGTCTGGATAATATACAAAATATTTCTTAATTTAGCTCACGTACAGATCAGCTCCACCGATTTGCCAGTGATAATATAATTTAAGTTGGGGCCTCTCCTGCTGTAGATAACGATTACGTGGTTTTAAAAATCTCAATAGGCCTATCTCGTTTTATTTTGAAGGTGGCGTGTTGAACACTGAGAAGGATTATTTCACATGTCCTGAAAAAAGAAACCCAACAGTGAGGTGTTATTGTCGGCGTTTCTGCGAATGGAATGATATTTGTTTAAATCGCACGGAAGAGATTGCAAAGTGCTTTATTATATTAGATTATTTTTGAAAGATTCGCTTTGTCTCGACCCATTTTTCTGACCCACTTTTCCCAATCAGTCTTCATTTTTTAAATTAAAAAAAAAATTGTTTTTTTTTTTGGGGGGGAGGGAAAAAAGGAACCAATGGAAAGAACGCAGAAAAATTACGATGCGCAAAATTATGACCGATTGATAAGCACTTTCTTTCTTTAATAAACTAGATAAATCTCCTCGGCGGGTGCTCTGGTGTGGTCTGCTCCTTCTTTCCTATCAAACTTCTATCGCCCTTATCTCCCCTTCTTCTTTTTTATGTTTGTTACTCTCTTGTATCACCTCTAATCTTCTGGCGCTCATATGACCTTATGCAGTTGCGAGCGCCGTAAAACCTCTACTAAAACTAAAACTCCTGGTGTTTTCCTTGTAGGCACGATGAACTGTTCAGCTGCACCAAGTCTGTTCTCCGTCGACAAGTCGTCCACCAGGATCATTGTGGGGGAGAAGGCGGCAGCTCTGATGACCTTGGTGGTCAACTGTATCTTCACCCAGATCGTGGCTGTCGTTGGCTGCTCCTGTAACCTCATCACAGTTCTGGTTCTTCGCCGCGACGGTTACAAAGACCCCACAAATCTGCTGCTTCTTTCTCTGGCCATATGGGACCTCTTGTTCCTCCTGTCGCTATGGTTACGTAAACTGCGATGTCCTGTGGCGTACATCGCAGAACTGTTGGGCGGGGAAGAGAACTTTATGTTTGCTAAACGTTATAACGCTTATGTAACGGTTTACGGCGTTTTTCCCTTCTACAGAACCGCCATGTTTGTTTCTATGATGCATGTGGTAGTGATGACCTTTCAACGTTTTCTCGTCGTCTGCTTTCCCCTGAAAGTTTCCCAGTGGGTAACCGTTAGATCAATGATGACAGTACTTGTGAGCTTGTACGTCACATCATTCGCAATGTTTGCGCCTTTCTTCCCAGGACAAGCCGTGGGATCTGCATTTGACCACAAGTACAACAGGACATTTCCGATTTTTGAGTTCTCCACATTTTACGAAACTAATCTTCAAATCATGACTGTATACAATTCAGGCTTCGTCAGCATCGTCCGAGGCCCTTTATCCTATTTCTTGGTCATTTTTCTTTCCACCGTTATTGTGTACAAACTCTCAAAAGCCGACCAGAAACGCTCAGCCATGATGTCATCAAACAGTGCGCACGGCGTCAAGGTAACCCGGATGTTGTTAGTCGTGTGCGCAGTGTACGTTGGTTGCAGCTCGCCATCTTTTATGCTTTTTCCCACCTCTTTTTTCGTTCCTTGGTTTGGGATAGGCAACGCACAGTTTTATCTGTTTCTGGATGTGGAAGAACTTCTGCAAGCGATCAACTCGAGCGCGAATTTCTTCATTTACATTCTCATGTCGAAAAAGTTTTACAATACCTGCAGAGACCTCATGCTTTGTGCTTGCAACTCTAGTTCAAGACGTGCTGTTCATCAATAAACAGCCCTTGTTCGTTAAAAGATCAATGGAAACGCATGCAAAAGCGATGTGAGTTGGATTCCCGACTGGAAAAGTTCTGTTTTCTATTTCTATCGGTCACCTGTGTCCTTCTGATCAGCCCTAGCTACTTCTGACAAGATCACAGAAGAAATTGTGTTGCATTGAGGTTCAATCAGGCACTGGTCAAAATAATGTGTGTGTATGTGTGTGTGTGTGTGTGTGTGTGTGTGTGTGTGTGTGTGTGTGTGTGTGTTGGTGTGAGTGTAAGTGTGGTGACGCACCAAACTAATGTGCCAGTGTATGGATAATAAGAATGATCTCATCTTAAATTATCTTATCTTATCTTATCTTATATTTTTCTTATCTTATTCTATCTTATTTTCTCTTATCTTATCTTATCTTATTTTTTCTTATCTTATTCTATCTCATCTTATTCTATCTCATCTTATCTTATCGTATGTTATCTTATTTTATCTTATCTTATTCTATCTCATCTTATCTTATCGTATGTTATCTTATTTTATCTTATCTTATTCTATCTCATCTTATCTTATCGTATGTTATCTTATTTTATCTTATCTTATTTTATCTTATCTTATTCTATCTTATCTTATCTCATTTTATCTTACGTAGTCTAAACAGCCGTATGCACTGCTCACC